CACACACACACACACACACACACACACACACACACACACACACACACACTCTCTCTGAACATCATACACTCAAATTCCAGATGTATTATATATTATATTACATGCTGCTGCCCCATCAGGTGACCAGAGGAACAACAGCTGACTGAATCATCATCATCAGAACACGGAGAACCCGTCAACAGAACCACAGCAGTACTGCAGCACAGAGCACACACACACACACACACACACACACACAGACTCATTGTTTCTCATATCAATATCTACATATTGATCAATAAATGTAAACATCTAAAACGAGCCAGTGAAGGAGCAGAGAGCCAGATACGCAGTCAAATACTGGATAGTACTACAATAGTACACAGGATAACATAGTATCAGTAGTATCAGTATAAAAAGCTGGAGACTGATTCTGATTTTGAAGAACAAGATATCAATCAGAAGAAAAACATCTACTGGGTCTCACATGAAACGTGATCACAGGAACAGTCAGAACCACAATGCAGTTCAATGAGAACAGTCAGAACCTCAATGCAGTTCAATGAGAACAGTCCGAACCACAATGCAGTTCAATGAGAACAGTCAGAACAACAATACAGTTCAATGAGAACAGTCAGAACCACAATGCAGTTCAATAAGAACAGTCAGAACCTCAATGCAGTTCAATAAGAACAGTCAGAACCTCAATAGGAACAGTCAGAACCTCAATACAGTTCAATGAGAACAGTCAGAACCACAATACAGTTCAATGAGAACAGTCAGAACCTCAATGCAGTTCAATGAGAACAGTCAGAACCACAATGGAGTTCAATAGGAACAGTCAGAACCACAATGGAGTTTAATAGGAACAGTCAGAACCACAATGGAGTTCAATGAGAACAGTCAGAACCTCAATGCAGTTCAATGAGAACAGTCAGAACCTCAATACAGTTCAATAGGAACAGTCAGAACCTCAATACAGTTCAAAACCTCCTGCTTTACTGTTCATCTCCTGACTCTAATGGGTTCTGCTGGGTTCTACTCCTTTCATGAATCGTTTAGTTTAGTTTATGGATTTTGCACAATTTAAAAAATAAAATACAAATAAACAAACAACAGAGATAAATAATACCACAGAGCAGGAAGAGGCAAAAAGCCAACTGGGATCATTTGAAGCCTCCACCTTTATAATATTAATATTTTACAATAATACAGAGAACATAAAATGAATTGCATTAAATATGACGACGTAAACATTATTGACAAGATGCTTTTACAAGATATGAAATATGATAACAATACCAATACATTACAAACAAGGGTAGTACTGGGGTCTACTCTTTTTATGAATTATACTGGGTTCTATAGGGTTCTACTCTTATGAATTATACTGGGTTCTATAGGGTTCTACTTCATTTATTAATTATACTGGGTTCTATAGGGTTCTACTCTTTTTATGAATTATACTGGGTTCTAAAATGTGCGGCTGCTCTACAAACGGTTTGTTTTCGTCAGCAGCGGCTCTGAATGTAGAATAATACTCAGTAATTGCTGCTGTCAGTATTTATGTATTTAATTCTTCACAGTATTTCTTCAGGTATTTGCAGTGTTTCTATATTTCTGTATTTATTTCGTTGCAGTATTTATTTAATTAAAGTATTTCTTTAATTACAGTATTTGCAGTATTCTACGGAGCTTCTGTCTTAAAAACTTTAGTTTTTCTGAGCTAAAGAACTGACAGAAGAGAAAGAGAAGAAGGAGAAAAAGAGGAAGAGAAGAGGAAAAGGAGGAGATTTTCCAGCTGGAAACTTGGATGCCGACACACAGAAACAACTCCATGTTCTAAACCCCCCCCATAAACCCGGACCCAAACCCAAACGTCTCCGTTACCTTTGACGGTGTCCGCCCGCGCGCCCGTTAGTCCAAGAGAAAGCAGCACGAGACACACGGAGAGGAGCAAAGTTCTAGTCCGATCCATGTTAGCGCGAGACGGAGAGGAAAAGTAGAACAACTTCCTCTTCTTCTTCTTCTTCTTCTTCTTCTTCTTCTTCTTCTTCTCCTTCTCCTTCTTCTCCTTCTCCTCCTTCTTCCTCTCCTTCTTCCTCTCCTTCTTCTTCTTCTTCTTCTGTGGACTCCTGTCTGTCGCTCTCACACACAGTCAGACACACAGACAGACAGACGGGTTGTCGGTCTCTTCCGTTTTCTTTTTTCCTCCGTTTCTCTTCAGACCGGAGAGAGACTGACTCCGTTTACCGAGCAGCCCTCTGACGTCACAGGGGGCGAGAGACGTTAGGGGGGCAAAGAGAGAGAGACAGAGACAGAGACAGAGAGACAGAGAGAGAGAGACATATATATATATATATATATAGAGAGAGAGAGAGAGAGAGA